ACCTGAGTCTCTTCATGTTTTCCTTTTATCGCAGAGCAATTCTGTTTTATTAACCTGGACCCTGTATTTAGTCCCACCTTTTGCTGGACAGGTTTTCTTACTGTTTATGGATCAAAATGTGTGTGGCTCAGCATCCACCACTTTTAGATGGATGCTGAGCCACACATATTTTGATCCATAAACAGTTTTAGGATATAGAGCAAAGCAGGGGAAGGATTAAGAGGTGGCAAAAGTGTCACACAATCCTGAAATCCCAAAGAATCCAATTGTGTTTTTTAGTCAAAGTCATAAAAAACAGCAATGGAAAACATGTATTGGAGCAGAGAGTTAAACGTGGTAGAGGTAGAGGGCTGCATGCAAAATATGATGCCAGCAAAACAGATGTGTTTGCATCAGAAGGTAGCATTTCCTTCCGTTGCATGTGGGCATAGAGAAGCATTCAGTATTTGTATTTCACTGAAACCATATACTGCTGGTCTGAGACACACTTTGGGATCCCTTGGAAAAGAAGAAATTATAGTGTATATATGCTTTCTGATAAAATAATTGTTCTAGGAGCTAGTCATTCTGGTGATTTGCAATGGCCTATTTAAAAATGCATTTCCTTCTTTAGCAGAAATGTATAAGTCTATAGGGATAAAAATATCAGTATGAGGGACAGCAAATCATCAATTTCACTAGTAGATTCTGAAGAGTATTGCTCTTTATTTATTTGTGTTAATCAGCTAATTGACGAAGATCAAGATACTTTGTCTGTGTGGAATAATAATACATAACTTTAGCCAGAACAAAAATGTAGCTGATAGGTATGGGCTTGATTGCTCCTCCCTGACTCCAGGATTTCAGTGGGAGATGCTGATCTTTGCAATGCTGCTGTGTTGTTTTTTTTTGCCAGTTCCAAGCAAAATATACTTTGCAGTTCCAAGCAAGTACACTTGCCGTGTACTGGGAAAATCATTGGTTACGTCCCTGCACTCTTAATTCCTTCTCTTGCATGTGTTTGTATGCTCATAGACATGCATCTTCCCTGTTTGCTAGGGGTGTTCCTGATCACAATACACTTTTGCACAGTATGATACTGCAATGTGAAATCCCTTGTAAAATATGACCAACTAGGTTTTGAGAATTGCTGTAATGGTGCAGAGCAGCTGGAAAAAACTGCGTAACCCAGGGGTAGGCAGCCTTTCCAGGTACGGCTGAAATGACCCACCCCAGGTTGGAAGCAGGGGAGTGCTAGGACCCTGCCACTGTTGCTGCTTGTTCCCACAGTGACACAGGGAGAGCACCCACAGCTAAATCCCCTGCCACTGAATGCTGTCAAAGCCCCACGTCTTCAGGCTAGATCCAAAAGTTTCACTGGCCCGTGGGCCATAGGTTGCCACCCCCTGGGTTCACCAACAGTTCAAGATTCCCCCTAGGAAGGAGCAGTCTCCAGATGGCCTGGGGCCTGCATGGTGGATGCATGCCAGGATGTCTCCCAGAACAGGGGATGTCCTCAACAGAAAGAGGATGCATTGGGGATACCTCTGCACTTGGGCTGGGGAATAACCCCTTGGCCAGGTGCTGTAAGTTAGTGAAGGTCCTCAAAAAGTTCTGTGATTCAGAACATAGGGCTGGATCTACTGCTGTTTCCTCTCACAATGCTTGGGCTGCTGACAGTAGCATCCCCCAGGCTCCAGGGAGTATATGGTTCATTGGGGACCAGAGCTCCCAGTAAGGGAAGTGGGAGGGTGGAGGAGGCAGGTTCATGTGATCACAGCCACCCTGCCTGCAGAGCAGCCTGCCACTGGGGCCAGCAGCTGCAGAGGAGCTGTCTACTTAGCTGTTGTGGGTGAAGTACTCGGTGTAGCCCTGTGTGAAGGAACAGCACTGCTCAGCCAGGCACTTGCTTCTCCAGCACAGACCCACTAGTGCTTTTTGGGGCAGTGGCCAGTTACACAGCAATGTGGCTTTCAAGTGACAGTCTAGCTCCAGGAGTAGCCCCTTGCTCTTGGGTCCTGTTGCTACAGTGGTACCTGTGGGGCAAGGCTCTGAACTGCAGGTGTGCTGCCAAGTCCATTGTTTAGGGATCCTAACCAAGGAGTCAGCAACTGCACAGTGCCATGAAGAGCCGCAGAATCAGACCCTCATGTAGGTTGTTTACAAACCAGCATGGCTGGTTCATGGGAGTTTAAGACCAAATTCTTGTTCGCATGTTTATTGTCCTTAGCAACACGCTTTGACAAAGCCCTGCACTGGGTTGTCAGGTTGGGACAGGCTGTTCGCTTCAGAGACCTGCACCTTAAAGCTTGCATTTATTTACCAGAAACACAGTTAAATGTCTCTATAAAGCTGTGCCTTTTGGTTGGCAAACAAATGTCAGAAAGCACTGCTGTGCAGAGCTTGTTTAAAAATAAAGCAATTGTTATTCATTAAGCAGATGAAAGCAACAGAAGCGAAGGAGATAAAACTTGAAATCTGAAACCACCTGCTTTATTTTGGCTGTAATTGAAATGCCTGTTTATGATGTTGTTAGTGTGCACATCCGATTTGCAGACAGGGCTTGACTTCTGCTAATTTCAGTGGGAGCCAGATCCAGCCCACAGTCTGGTTTGGGTTTTGGAGGGGGTTGTGGTTCGATTGCAGGCTCTAACGAGCATTTCAGCATCTGTTTGTTTCCTTCCAGCAGCCAAACGAAACAGCAGTGTGGCTGCTTAGTAGATGGATGCTTCAGTCATTAGCCATGTTTCTGTGACTACAGCTCTGTGTCCTAGCATGCGTGCACTTATCTCTTTTGTTCCTAGCTGGAAACGCTGAGGGGTTTTTTTTTTTTTTCCTCCCCTTCATTTTGCTCTTGCTGACATTGAGAGAAATATAAGATCTGAATCTTCAGTGGATTGAGCCAGAATGTCACGTAGGATGGGAATAATCTGTGGCTGAGCTCAGCTGCAGGGAGCTGCAGCCTGGCTGCTGTGCTCCAAGGCATCACTTAGTAAAAAAATAGTGGTAGGTTGCAGGAAGCACTGAGGTTATTTGACTATTGAAATAATAGGCATTTGTAATTGGAGCATTCAGCTGGCATAGGCTGACGTGGGTTTTGGGGTTTTTTTTGGCATAGATAGATCATGTGGGTGTGTTTCATGGTCCTTGCATGGCTAGGCTGCAGGCTTTCTTGTAAAATAGATAAAAAGAGAAGAGGACTATTTTAGTGTTATTGCTGGTTTGATTCTGTCCCACTAAATGTGGTGGAGGTGTTGCCATTGAATTCCCAGAAAAAGGGGGCAGGGAGTTGTCCATGTCGCTGAGCAGTTCACTCTTATACAATATTTGGCAGCAGAAACCTGAAAAGTGGGGGTTCACAGCGCAGTCGAAACCAGGAAGTGGGCAGATCCTGGCCACACAGTGGGATGTAAGACTGCAGAATACAGTAAAAGTCTTAAAAACCCCAGCAGGGCTGCCCCGTGCACATTTGTGCTGCATGTCTTTTGACTGTTTAATAACTTGAGAAATGATCAGGGCGTACCAGCTTTCTAGAGCAAGAGAAGCTCTTTTATGACTTCCTAAAGTGACATAAAGGAAGTGGGTTTGCGAATAAAGGTTCATAGTGAGAAACAGAGAATATGTAAGCAGCAAGACAGACATTCAACACCTTTCTTATACCTCCTTGGTGCTACTCTTAGTTGACAACAGAAGCTGCCAGGGAAATAGCAGGTAGTTTAGACTGTGCTTAGGAAAGTATCCTCATACCTTCAGAGTCCAGCACGTGGTCTATAGAGCATACCCATTTTCCATTTCAGATCACGGGAATATCTTTCCTTGGGACCTGGTGTAAAGAATGTTCCTCTGGTTTGACATTTCCTCATTAGACCAGTCTCCACTCCTCAGTGGTACTGAGTGTGTACACCTCTTGCTTTTATTTCATAGAAACCCCACCTCAGTCGACACCCTCTAAGAGTGGACCACACTGTTCTGCTACTCAGTCCACATTAGGGCTTCCTGTTTGATATGAAAGTACAGTCCATGGAGACATTATGGAGTGGCATTTTTTTTCTTCACATTCTTTTCCTGTAAGTCATATTTTGTGCCCAGTTTTAAAATATAAATTAACTGGGAAATAAACCGATTGATGGAGTCTTCTTTGAAAATCAATCAGAGTCTGTAGATTAGTCTGGAAAAGTAAACTTGCCAACGCTTCTGTGCGAGTCTTTTTGATCCAGCTCACCCAGATTCTGTCTCCTGCACTGGAAAGAATCCTCGATGCAGTATGGACTGCCTCCCTTGGCTGCTAACCATTAAAAGTTAATGTCTGGTCATTGGTCTTTCATAGGAAACTCCATTCATATGTTGACAGTTCTTCATAGCTCACTCCAATCAACCCAAACATGCCTACAGCAGCATCATTCATTCCCCTGTCCTAGAGAAGAAATGAACCCCTTTTCTGTTCTTATAGGTCACAATATAAAAATGAATAGGGGAACATTATACATAGTTTTCATAAAAAAAATCCTTCCCCACATTCTCCACAGTGACAGGTCATAAAGGCCATATTTCTTGCAGCTTCAAATGCAGCCCAGAAGGCAGGGTTGTTGTGAGGATAAGTACATTAAGGAGGTGTTCAAATACTATGACAGTGTGGGCCATGTGGATGCCTTGGAGATGCTGGCAGGGGCAGCCTGGGCATGCTTGATATATGGTGCTTACCTGTTCTGTGTCTAAACAGGCATTCTCTCTGCATGGTTGTCAGTCATGAGTTGTATTAATGCCTTCCTGGTTTTGTGACCTCTTCCTGAATTGTCCCAGGTGGACTCAAAACCATCTTCACAAAATGTGAATAGAGAGTGCTCTGCAGACCCACAGACATTACAAAAGAAATGTATTAAGCAAGCCATGAGGGGCACTGAATGGGGCACTGAATAAGTGAAAACTGCAGTATCATATTTTGGTTTGCTAGTGACCCCTTGCCCACTTGGTTTCTGTGAAGGACAGAATGATTGATAACAAGCCTGTCTTCTATCTCACAGATCGATGAACTCCCTGAGGGAGCCGTGAAGCCTCCAGCAAATAAATACCCCATCTTCTTTTTTGGGACTCATGAAACGTAAGTGACCAAATATAGTGTATTCTTCTGAGCTGTGTGGCCCTGCTCCCGCTTTCACCCTCACAGGTTTTTCACACCTGGGTTTTTGACTGACTTTAGTAGCATTGCTCCACTAAAGACTAGAATTGGATGCTATGGCCTTGACTCTCATTTACACTAAAGTCCCTTGCATACTGGTCTGGTACCATAAAGGAGTGTCACAGTGGATGTAGATACCACTAAGGTGTCAGCCAGGACCTGAGTATAGAAGACAATTGTGTCCTACATTTCTTCTGAATACAGATTTTGATGTGCTGTGTTATTGAGCCACCTGGAAGAAGGTCCAGTAACAAAATAAACTGTGCTCCCAAGTACATGGTAACCAGAATGAGCATATTGTAGCCAGATATCTTTGGGGATTAACCTTTATCCCACTGACAGTGGTAGCAAAATTCTCATAGACTTAATTGGGCTTGGGATTTATCCCATTTGTATCAAAGAGGCTTTTTTATTATTATTTTTATTCTTTGTGGAATTGAAGCTTCTAATAACTATTTCTTAAAAAAAAGTGAGGCTTAAAAATCTGGGAGGGAGTAATTGGTAGTTGAGCAATAAAGGCTGTGGTTCTAGAGGTGTGATTTCAGTCGTGTACCAGATTTAAGCTGAAGGTAGCCCCAATCAACTCCAATGTAAATGGATACCTGCCCATTCAGGGCATTTATACATGTGCTTCAGGAGAGGGGGGCTTTAATTAGAGTGGCTCCAAGAGCTGCTCTAGTTAAAGCACCCAGAGCGTTACGTGTATGGGTGTCCCCGTGCTGAAAAATGGCAGTGAGGGCACTTTAACTAAAACTCATCGAACAAGCTTTAGTTAAAGCGCCTGTTCTGCCATTTTTCAGTGTGGGGATGCTGATACACATGACACTAGAGTCTGCTGGAGCAGCCCGGTAATTACCCCTCTCCAGCAGACTTGATTAATTGAGTCTACTCCAACGTGCTGTAATTACAGCACATCGGGGCAGCCTCAGTGCCCTTAGACTGGTGAGACAGAGGTGACTGGATATTGCTACTTGCTTGTGTGCCATTGGCTGCAGGAATTGATGTGGCTTAATTATGCTTGCCTAATGGTCACTAAGCTCGGGTGTATTTTATTTGACTAATCATGGCCCGTTGAAGTGCAAGGGTTTCTTCACTGGTGGTTAGCTTGTATTTCTCCTTAAACATGGGATGAGAAGTGTGATAGTAGCAACAGGAAAAAGAGCAAAGCTGAATCAAGAGAATCTTGTAGTATTGCCAGTTGGCATTTAAAGTAAATTCTTTTATTGGGGTTTGTGTTGTGGGGTGATGGAGGATGGAGCCCCTGGGATGGTGAAAGAACTGAGCTGGGGGTGATGACAAGAAAGATGTGAGGAGCAAGGAATGGTAAGTCTCAGCGTAGTTGATTGCAACATTTTAAAATAGCAGGAGTATTAACTTGTCAATGATTACTGTTAATTCTGCAGTGGAGCTGCACAAAACTCAGCATTTAGGGTTTTACAGGAAATTTTGATATTTTGAAATGCATTTTATTACAATTCAGAACAAAATATTTTCAAAACATCCCACAAGATGGAAATTCTAAAAATACTAGTTTTTAGGGACATTTTAGTTTAAAATTAATTTTCATGCAAGGATTTTGAAACTTCATTTCAGAATAACTTGCTTAGTTATTTTATATTTTATAGTATTTTTATGATTTTTACATTATTTTACCATATAATATGGCATAATAATAGAATTGAAGTATTTGTTTTATTTTTTTAAACTATTTTAAAGGCACCTTCTACTTAAGGGTGATCAAAATATCTTCTATTCTAGGTCAAAGTATCTCCTGTTTGCATTGTAATAAGAGTTTGATGTTTTGACACATGTACTACTGCCATTGACATACCATTAAATAATGTAAACATAAAAAAAATAACATGCAAGTGAGGACAGATAAAAAGTTAAATGAAATTTCACAATCACAAAATAAATTTCTAAAAGGGAAAAGCAATTTTAGAAAAAAAGCCACTGACAAAAATCTGACCCACTTTCTCTCTAGTGGCTGACTATTAAGTAAAAGAATTTATTGGACTGAGTTTATAAGCCTGTGATCTCTTTATTAACTCAGAAACAGGAAGTCATTGTGTAGTTACTATCTAAATATTTTACAAAGAATAGCTGATACAAAAGAATTGTGGACAGTGGCTCCCTATTTCACTCCTGGCAGAGCAATGAAAAGCTACTTTCCTCCATTAATGGAGGTTCATGCAAGTATCTGAAACCAATGTCAGGATGATTTTTATATTTTGACATTATATGTAAATACTCAACTAAAATGTACATACATTATTGATCAGGGAGGTAATTAGCCATGTTAGTCTGAAGTCAAACAGAAGACAGGGCAGAGCGGCACCTTAGGGCACCTATACACATGCAGTGAGGCTGCTCCGATGCAGTGTTATTCAGCGCATCGAAGCAGACTCAATTTAATCCAGTCTGCTTGGGTGTGGTAATTTTAATTATCACACTCCACCAGACTCCAGCATCATGTGTATCAACGACCCTGCCATAAAAATGGTGGTGGGGCACTTTAACTAAAGCTTGATTCAACAAGCTTTAGTTAAAGTGCCCCTGCTGCTGTTTTTCAGTGCAAGGACACTGATATATGTGATGTTCCGGGAGCTTTAATTAGTGTGGTCCTCAGAGCCACTTTAATTAAAGAGCGCACTTCCCCTACCCCTTCCCAGACCATGTGTATAAATGCCCTTAGAGACTAATTGGCTTAGAGAGGCACTACCTGTTTTAGATAACTTCCTACTTCATCAGATGCTAAACTTAGCTGATGAACTAGGCTGTTGCCTGTGAAAGCTTATGCCTTTCTGAACCAGTTATTCTTTAAGCTTCCACCCTGCCCTACCTTCTGCTGGATGTTACTGGGATAAGACACCTTAAGTTATAGTGAGTTTACTTGTTTTCATTGTAGCTGTTTTGTGAATCCCATGATCATATGAAGAAGTGCCACTTAGCTTCAGCAAAATTATGGAATTGTTTCTTTAAATAAAAATAAGGAACATTCATTGTTCTGTTGTTATGTACCAACAAGACATCTGCATGTTGTAAAAGTGCTCTTTAGTTTTCAGGTAAATGTACATTACCCACACCATTACCATAATTAAGGTGTCTCAGAGACCAAATGGGATTCAGCTTCCAGGTTCCATTATACTAGGTGCTATACAGACTTGTATAAAGAGAAGGTCCCTGCTCCAAAGAGCTTCCAAAATAAAGCAGCCCACTCCACACTGGTAACTAATGCCCTATCCAGAGTCACACCTGTGGAGAAGTGCTAGCAGGGGTAAGGCATGAATTAATTCAAAATAAAACATAAATGAGAAGAAGGATACTCCAGTGGTTAAGGTGTGAGGTTGAAACCTAGCCTCACATCCAACTCTGCTCACAGATTGCTGTGTAACCTTGGGCAAACCTTTTGCATGCCTCCACTTTCTATCTGAAAATCACATAAATAACATCTCCTTGCCTCACAGAGGTGTCAGGAATAATTACATTAAGTAATGTGAACCTCTGAGATGCTGCAGTAATGGGCAAATATAAGTGCCTGAGCAAGGAAGCGTTTTACAAAGAATCAGAGAGGCAGGAAACAGTTAATGCCAAATGATTGTGTGCCGTACCCAGTTATGTTTATATGTTGATGGCACAGAATTTTTTATAATGGAAGCTAAGTGCTTCTCTCCTCCATTCTTAATACAGTCATCTTTGAAACTGGTCAGCCTGGCACAAGGCTGGTTTATGCCGTGGTAAAGCAATACATCTCTTATCTGCCTCAATACATCCCAAATAACCAGGCACCCTTTAAGAAGTGGTGGGCTGGGGCCACTGCTTACCACACCAGCCAGCACTGATTAATTGGTTCTTTATATACCCTGTCTGTCCGTAGTCACCAATTGCCTCCTGGCTTGTAAGCTGTTTGGGGCAGAAACTAGCATTTTGTTCAGGGTTTTTACTAGGCTGCTACCAGGGTCTCTTTCCATGCCTGTTGCTCCCACTGGAGTCCAAATAATAATTAATTACAAATACCACAGCCAGGGTGGGGTTTGGCTTGTCGGTTCTAAAAATTTGCCACATGCTTTAATGTTTTACACTATATGATTTTCAGCCCTCTTCAAATTTGCAGTACAGCAGACCATAGGAGGCCACTTGGATCACTGATTGCAGGCCCTTATTGTTGCAAGCAATAGTATCACATAATTTCATTTGCTCAGTTCAAGCACCCATATTGAGCTGGGCTTAACATAATACATGAGATTGTGCCAGAATTATTCCTGGAGATACTCAGCTTGAGTTTGCCACATCAAGTGTTGGGATGGTGAGCAACGCCTGATAAAATCCATGACATCAGATTCATAGTGCTAGCTCAGAATCACCCAGAGTGTAAAGATCTGATGTGATGAGCAAGACACTAAGCATCCCATTTGCATGGATCAGTGTATTACATTGGAGGGGGAAATGAAAATGCTTTCTGAACACCACCTCTGTCCAAATGCAGTGCTTTCCTGGGGCCCAAGGACCTCTTCCCATATAAAGAATATAAAGATAAGTTTGGGAAATCGAACAAACGAAAAGGATTTAATGAAGGCCTGTGGGAAATAGAAAACAACCCTGGAGTCAAGTTTACTGGATACCAGGTAAATACACCTCCCTTCTGTTCTTCCTTATCTTACTTGTGCCCCTTTTGAGAGCGTCCTGTCTGTGTGAATCTTGGGTGGCCAGCAATGGAAGGCCATGGTTCTGGTGGCACCGGAGGGGTTTCACAGCTGGTGATGGGCTGTAATTGCATAATTATAAAGACCATCCTGGTGCTGTATGCCATGATGAGCTGGACCTTAACAGTGCAGCCTGTGGCCCTTTGGGTTGTGCATTGAACTTCAGCAGATTTATGTGAGTTAGACCAGTGGTTCTCAACCTTTCTGGACTTGAGGCACCCCTCCATAACTTTTGTGAATTGAGTGGTGCCTAATTTCAAAAACTAATTTACTGTAGTTACTCAAATGGTAAGGCAAGGTTTTTCTCCTTAATCGGGGGGGGGAGTGGGGGTGGGGGGAGGGAAAGCCCCTTGTATTATATTTGCACATGAAACAAGTAGCTGCTGCAGCTCTGAGTCTGGCCCTAAGCCCAGATGAGACCCACAGCAGCCTCCGCTTCCCCTCTGCAGCTTCTGCACCATGCTCCACCGCCCCCGCCCATCTCTTTCCCTTCCCCTTACTGTCAGGTGCAGCTTTCCACTTGCTGCCTGCCCAAGCAGTGTCTGATAGTAAGAGGAGTGGGGGATGGGGGATGGGGAGGGGAAAAGGCAGAGACTGGAGAGTTGTGGGGACAAGGGGCAAGGACTGGGAGGAGTAGAGGACAAGAGGCAGATGTTGGGGGAATGGCGGAGCCAGTCAGGCACGCAACCGTGGAAAACGAGGGTGGG